GGCTAATTTTTTGTATTTTTAGTAGAGATGGGGTTTCACTGTGTTAGCCAGGAAGGTCTTGATCTCCTGACCTTGTGATCCTCCCCTCGGCCTCCCAAAGTTCTTGGATAGATACCCAGTTCTTTAGTATGAAGGAACTGGGTGACTATAACCTGCCATTACTTCAGTGGAGCACCTAGGAAATGAATTAGGTTTGGAGATCACTTTGAGGCACCTTAGAAAACAAGGGGAGAATAGAAAGTGGGCAATTGGTAGATTAGTCATTTCTACAAATGATAACTGAAACTCTAAGAAAGGAATTAGAGAAGTATGTGACCTCTGAGATGCTGGTGGCAAAGATGTGTTAGGATGAAGTTGTAGGAGGGAAAGGATGATAAATTAAGCTTTTAGGAAAACTGGCATTGGATGGAATGGTTTACAAGTGTCTGGACTGGTTTCTAATGACAAGTTAAGACCTTATTGCTGGAACAAATAGAGGCATTTTTACCTGTCAACAGTGCCAAAACATAGAAAAGGGAAAGGAGCGTTAATCATTGCTGGGTGTGAGGTGTCAAAGCCCTGACAAGAAAAAGTGTTGGCGCTCGAGCAGTAAGAAGAATACTGGCAACAGTACAGGTTTGAAAAGGAAGTTTCATTAGATAGATAGAATGCTGCAGAAGGATGCAGCAGGGCACTTCAGCAAGAGAGGACTGAGCTCGCCACAGTAGAGTTTTCCTTAGGAGTATTTATAGACCTTTGAGCAGGAGCTTAAGGGTAATTTGGACCATATTAGCCATGTAGGTAATGATAAATGATTATATTTGTAGACATTTTGGTGCCTTGATGTTAGCAAGGGTTGCACAATGAGTTTTGACATGCATGCATTTGGAAATGTGTAGAAATTCTGGTTACTTACAAATTTGGGGAAAGAAGCCTGGTATCAGATGCCAGGTTTTGATATTGGGGAAGTCTAATTACTTCTAAATTCCTCAGGTAAGGAGTTTTGCCTAGAGATGGTCTGCTTGATGGCCACCAGGTGATCTTTGCTCTTCTCATTTTCCCCCGGCAGATACTTTGGTCAAATCTTTGACCCTTTCTATTCCCCCATGACCCTGTGTACCTGCTGCCTATTATGGCTTCAAGAAAGGGAAAATGGCACAGTGAAGAGGGGTGTCAGGTCTGTCTGGCTACTTCCTGCTGAAAGGGAGCATTAAGGGGATGTCACGTTTTTCCCTTTCTTGCTCTCTGTCATGAAGGGTTATGAAAAACTTGTTTTGGGGACAGGAGACACCAGATTCCATCAAGAGGCCCCATATAAGTGGAAGTTGCTGTTGCAGGCTGGTATTGGGATTACATAATCATCTGTAGGTGGAATCATTCTAATCTGGAAGATAGAAACTTAATGAGAGCATTAAAGAAGCAGGGACCAAATATTAGAAGAAGAATAATGAGGAATAAAGGTCCAAGGAATGGGAGAAGGCAGGTGATTTTTGAAAACCAATTAGTAAGGATTTTGGCCCAGTTTGGGTTACTTTGAGAAAGTGTGTGTAGCCATTTGGTTTGTTTGAAAATCTCTCGATTTATATTTATATTCTCCAGACATATTAATGTAGGTGCAACACATTTTGTTGATGACAGCACAGATGACTCCTTGTTCAGATAGGAGGTAATCTAGCACTCTTCTGTTATCAAAAACCATTCCTACTAGTGAGGTTAAAGACTTTTCTAGTGGTGATAGATTTGTGCTAGTTTTTGCTAAGCTATTTTGAGGGAGGCAGTAAGTTCCCGCAGTGTGATTTCATGATAAGTACAACCTCCCCAAGGGGTGAGAGTTGTGATGATTCCAACAACTCCAGCAATAAGTCCTAGGACCCTTTTTCTTCCTGAATGGGATTCTAGATTGGAAGTTATGGTAAGACAGTGATTTGGGCAGGAGCTATTGTACCCAGAGTACAGTCATCATAATGAAGAGAATTATCAAGGTGGGATAGGGCCAAAGCTTGAAAAGGATTTAAATAATTAATAGCAGTGCCACAAAACCATAAGAATCCAGGAGGGGCAGATAATACATTTTTGAGGCTTCTTGGACTAAGAGGGCCACCACTGCTAAGGCTCTTAAGCCATCCCTGGGATACTAGGTCTAAAGTTTTTTTAAAAAATATGCCATAGGGGCAGGCATGGTGGCTTACACCTGTAATCCCAGCACTTTGGGAGGCCAAGGCAGGCAGATCATGAGGTCAGGAGTTCGAGACCAGCCTGGCCAACATGGTGAAACCCTGTCTCTACTTAAAATACAAAAATTAACTGGGCGTGGTGGTACGCACCTGTAATCCCAGCTACTCAGGAGGCTGAGGCAGGAGAATCACGTGAACCTGGGAAGCAGAGGTTGCAGTGATCCAAGATCATGCCATTGCACTCCAGCCTGAACAATAGAGTGAGACTCCATCTCAAAGAAAAAAAAAGTGCTATAGGGCACTTAGAGGGCCCCCCAATCTGGGGCTAAGACTCCCAAAGCTATTCCCTTTTGTTCATGTACATACAAAAAAGGCTTAGTCACATCTGGTAGGGCTGAGGTCAGGGCTGAGATTAAAGCCTGTTTGAAAGTGTTTAGAGCATGTTTCATATCATTAGTCCAGAATAGAGGCTGTTCCTCAGTTCCCTTGAGGGCTTCATATAAAGATTTTGCTATTAACCCGAAGGAAGGAATCCATATTCTGCAAAACCAAGCCTTACCCAAAAATGACTGAAGCTGTTGTTTACCACAGTTGTCATGTTTAAGATCTTTATAAGCACTACAAAGGCTTTTTCACTGGGAATTAAAATAAGACCCCAAAATTTAACCCTTTGTGTGGATATTTGTACTTTAGAAGGAGATACTTTGTACCCACAATTAGCGAGTTTGTTTAGTACTAATACTGTATTTTGGTTTGGAATAACCTTGTTAGGACTACAGATTAGTAAGTCATCCACATACTGAAGTAGATTGCTATCTGGGAGAAGCTGCAGGGGCTCTTTTAGTGAAGTGTTAATATAGCTAGAAGATGGGGCCTTAGCTGTAAATTAGATTGTAATTTTGTAAATCACAACCTAATGGAACAGGGCAGCTTGGCTGAAAAGGAGTAGAGGAATAGCCTTTCATTTTACAAGGGAGTGGTGGTGTGAAACAGCCTCATTGGGGTTTTCCATCAATATGCATGAGGAAAATGGAGGAGTGACACATTGGGCCATAGTAAATGTTTAAAGCTGAATAACTGTCCATTGTACCCATGAGTAATATTACCTGTTGTTCAGTCACAGTCAGATTTGCCCTGGGCTCATCCACAGAGATGGAAAAGACAGGGCCATGGATGGCTTCAAAGGCCCCATCCAGAGGATGGATGACTGACATTTCAGAGGTTTGATCATAATCCAGGCATAGAATTAGAGGTACTTGCCCTTGCCCTCACCCTCACCCTTGTTCTACAGGATCCCCTTGTTAGGTTGGTGAGATTGTGGCTGTCATAGCCTAGAAGGAAGAGGTGGCCCCCGTTCACGAGGGAGGGACACTCACTCTTCCAATTTGCAGTGAGGTCAGGGTCCCAGGGATGACTTGCAACCTGGAGGTTTGGGACATTCTCAACTTCAGTGTCCTTGATTTCTTCAGTGATGACAGGCTCCCCTTTTGTTAGTGTTATAGGGATGAGCCTTGGGGTTATTGGCTAATGAAAAAGAATGTGCCAATGTTGTCTCAGTATAATTAGCTTGGTGACAGCATTTTTCCTCCTCCAATTGAGCCTTTTTTTTCTTTTTTTTATGTTTCCTCCTGGTTATTGAAAACCTTAAAGGCTGCTTTTAATAAAGTACAAAAGGGAGTCTGTGGGCCTTTCTCTAATTTTTGGACTTTTTGTCTGATGTCTGGGGAAGGCTGACTTATAAAATGTATGGGCAGAAGGGATTGGCCCTCAGGGCTTTCAGGGTCTAAATTTGTATATTTATGCATAGCCTCCATCAGTCTAGCTGGAAAAGGGCTGGGTCCTTGGTCCTGAGTGATCTATCGTAATTTAGAAAAATTAACAGGTTTTATTACAGTCTTTTTCATTCCTTCCAACAAACATGTTATCATATAATCTTCTCTGCCTGTCTCTGTTTGGGCTGGCATTGGCAGCATGGTATTGCCAATTGGGTTCTGTGTTGGGGACAGCTTCTGCCCCGGCTCTATTATTAGGATTGCCAACATGAGCTTCATCTGCCCAAACTCGAGCTAAAGACCATGATTTTTCTTCGTGGGAACAGCAAATAGTTAATACCACAAATGTGTCTTGCCAGGTTAACTCAAAGGCAATAAAGCCCGAAATTCTTGAATGAACTTAGAGGGATCCTGGCTAAATGAACCCAACTTGGATTGAATTTGCCAAAGATCAGACAATGGAAAAGGGACATGAACTCGAATTGTTCCCAAATCTCCGTTTGCCACCTTGTGGAGAGGCGAAATATTTGGGGGATTTTCTGAGGACTCTGTACTAGTGGCATATGTAACTCCTGTGCGAGTATGTGAGGGTGATAAAGTATCTGGATGGTAGGGGGCAGGGGTTGATTGGGGCATGGAGCAGATGGCAAGGGGTACACAATGAGTTTTGACATGCGTGCATTATGGAGATGTATAGAAATTCTAGTTACTTTTAAATTTGAAGGGAAGAAGTCTGGTACCAGATGCTGGCTTTAGATAACAAGGAAGTCTAGTTACTTCTAAATTCCTCAGGTAAGGAGTTTCTGCCTCAGAATGGTCTGCTTAATGGCCACCAGGTGATCTTTGCTCGCAATTCTATTTGCTTGATTTCATCTGTGGCAGTTTCTGGGTGCGGGGGTGGGGGGAATCAAAGTTACAGGAACAAAATAAAACCAACAGTAAAACTTTCATGCTGACTGGAGAATCCTTAACGTTTAAAAATAGGTGTTGAATGGGCCAAAGCCAAACAACGCAAGCCGGAAAAGAAATGTTTAAAAGTTGGCTATATTTATACAAGAAAAACCAAAAGAGATAATTAAATGAGACTTTTAAAATTCGGGGCTCTCCACTGAGGCTCGTCCCCGGGCGCCAGCTCCGGGAGTTCGGCAGAGGCTCGTCCCCTGCCAGGGCGCCTGGGGCAAGGGACCGCACGGCGCATGCGCGTCTTCCAGCAGCCCCTTTCCCCTTCTTCCCCAAGATCCAGCGCGTGCTCGGTTGCCCTTCTTCGTTCCCTGCGGACCTTTGCGTCAGGACCCACCACCTGCCGGCCCATCATTTTCCGAGTCCCTGCGGCCTAGTCGGAGTGCTCGCTCGCGCCTCCTAAAGCTTTCAGCGGAGGGCGCCGAGACCCCTGAGGGCGGCCGGTAAGAAGGCGGAGGGGTGGGGGCCTCAAAGCTCGCGGGGAAGGTGCAGCAGTCACTAGAGTGCTGACGTCAGCTGGAGGCAGGGCACCGCGGAAGGTTGAATCCACGCCCTGGCTGCGCGCAGGCGCTGTAGGGGGAAGGCCTGGCACGCTCCAGCCAACCAGGGCGTCACCTGCAGCCCGTCCCCCTTCCCAGGCTTGCCTCCAGCGCTCTGCCACCGCCGGAGAGGGGAGGGTGTTGGGGACAGGTGGAGCCGGGAGGGTCCAGCTGAGAATTCGGGGTTAGAGGCTCAGAGAGCACTGCGGCTAGGAGCCCGTCAGAACCTGTCGCCCAGTGGGGCCAGGGCAGGTGGGAGCGCCTGGCCGTGCGTCGCGCGTTGGTTGGCCGGCTGACGCCCCGGTGCGCATGCGCGGCCGAACAACCCTGCGGGCGGAGCGAGTGTCCTCTCTCCTGGTGTACTGGGTGGGAGGTGGAAGTGGTCGGACAAAGCCCTCGCGTCGGACCCTTGCCAGAACTGTAAGGAGCAAGAGGGGAGGGACTCCGGTGGTGCATTCATGCCCCTCTCAGGGTGGGAAGCGGGGTCGGAGGGGAGTGCTCAGAGCCACCTTAGCGCAGCGTGCTAACTTTTGAACTGAGGCGGTGCCGGGGGCCGCAGTATCCGCATCGCATCTACATTTTAACTCGCTTTGAAATGAGAACGTAAAGACGATTTAGGTTTTATTGTTTCCGACTTATATTTTACCGAGGTCTTTGGTTTACGGGAAATTGTTACCTACTAAATCTCATATAGCAAGAGATTGAGAAAAGGAAGCTACAGAATCTAGGCTAATTTATCTGATAGCTTTTCCTGCTTTTACTCTTTTTGCCTTTTCCCCCTACTCTAAAAAGTACATATTCAACTGAAAAGCCATGAAAATTGCCGCTTTTATCCCTCCTTGATGTAACAAACTGCGTTCAGAAACCTTACAGGATAGTCACTAAAGGAAGTCACAGTTCAAATGAGAGTGGCATGATATTAATTTTGTTAAAATAAATTACTTTCAAATAAAAGTTGTGCCAAATGGTCAAAGCTCAATCCTGGGAGCTCTATTTGGCACACACTGTTATTCTTTCTGTGTTAGTTGAAAGTGATTTAAGCAAAAACAAAACCGTTTTTCGTGTACTCTTCCATAATTTGGATTTTTTACCGATTTACGTATCTTTCCTCCAAATTTGGTTTGAAACTGCACAGATTTAATGCCTCAGCACAGATTTTAGGTAAAATTTGAAATTTTCATTTTGTGAAACAGAAGCTAATATCACTATTAAGTAGATTAAAGTAGTCATTTACCATGGTTTGTAAATAAATTGTATCCTTCCCGGTCCTCTGCCCCCTTCCAGGAAAGGCACCATTTCCTTAGAGAAGACCTTCCTGAGTGCTCCCCGTCCCATTCTAAGTGTAGCGTCTGGGAGTTTCTCATATTCTGTGCATGTTTGTATTATTGCATTTACTGCGTTTATAGTTATCTGCTTGTGTCTGTTTTTACACTCCTCCCTCCCTCTAAAAGTATTTTGAGTGTTAGAATTGTCTTAATATTTTTCTAGTCCCAGTGCTTTACGCAGGACCTGGCCCATAAGTGATGATGAATGGGTGAGTTAAAGACTCAGTATGCCTTCCAAGTCTGATAAGACAGTGCAACCTCTTTAGTTATTTTATAGCATTTTCCATGTGGAAGTATAGTGGTCTAAGTGCAGTATGGACAGGAACCACCTATGTAACAATTTGTCTGAAGAGGAGAAGCCTGCAGTTGATGTGGATGCCCTAGGCTTTTGGAGCTAGTGTCTGAATGAGAGCACCCAACTCTACTCTGAAGCAATGTGTCTTCAGTCAGCTGATAGTAATTTGATTTTTTGTGTAGCTAGTCCTGAGAGAGTAAGAACATTATATGTGAATCTTCTAGTTGTCTTAGCATTCATAATCTCAAAGTAAATTTACAGATTGACATTCTAGTTATCAGGCCTTGTAATTTAGCTTTCCCAAAGTCCGCATATATCTGTTTGAAGTGATAAAATTGGGTTCTGTTCTTACAAAGTTAAAGACTAACCCAAGATCTGGGCATTAGGAAGAGGCAAGCAGCCATGCCTGCCAACCTGCTGGACTCTTAACATTGTCTCTACTTAGAATTTTGTTTTTTTAGTCTGAAAAGTACGTAAACCATACAGGAAACAAAGAACTAATTCAAGCAAAAACTTGAAATCCTCCTTTGATTTTTAGCATAAATTGGGTAGCTAAAAATCCAAGTTTGTATTAAATAATTATTTTTAAAGAATTAAAGCTTAAACATTAACAGATGCCCCAGAATCCTCTTTGGTGATAGAATCAGGATTCCCTAATACAGTGGTTCTCAAACCTAAGTGTGCGTCAGAATCCCTGAGAGTGTGTTAAAACAGATTCCTGGATCCCACCCAGTTTCTGATTCTGCAGGACTAGGATGGGACCTGATATTTGCATTTCTCATGAATGTTGTTGCTGCTTTGAAAACCACTGCCCTAAGACTTCTTTCTCTCCTTCCTACCCTATCCCTTTCTTCTTTTCCAAAACTGGATCCTGATCTGTCACTTAGTGTTCAGAGCCCATTCTTAAATAAGAGCTTATAGGAAATACTCAAAAGACTCATAGGACTCAGTTGTTCGTTCTTATTCTTAAACAGAACAAGAAAATATATTTTTAATTTTTTCCAATGATTTGTATAAGAAGTCATCATCTTAGAGCAATAATTTTGTTTAATGGATAGCAGAATTATTAACTGAATATATTTTTATGTATATAGGCATTTTCCTCTAGAAATATGAATTGGCTACCATTATGGGAGAGAGGAGAGTTGCTGGAAAAAGAAAAAGTCACATTCCCTCTCATTTCTCCTCTATTGCTCTCTCATTGTTTCTCCATGCCCCAGAACGCTGTCTTCAAAAAGTCAGTATTAATTCATAAAAAGACAATTCCCACAGCACAATATAACTTTGTTATACTCACTTTAGTTTTTTATTTTGAAGAGAGAAATGCTACTTCCATCAAAACTTGTGTTTTTATTGGTTAGCAAGTGCTAACTTTGTCTTCAAATGGTAAAAATAAACAACTAGCTACTTTTTAATTCTGATGAATTAAAAGTATTTTTCTAGAGAAAAATTTGTGAAATTAGATTATACATTTGTACTTTTTAAACTCTAGCCTTGGCAAAATTGTCTACTACCTTGTATTTTTTAAGACCTTCAGACATTGACTCCTTATTGTGATAATTCTGAGTTTTTCAACAAAGTTTTTCAAAATTTGTTTTCAAATAAAGTATTGTATTTAACTGCATGTTTGAGCAATATGTTATCCGACATTAGGTGGAAAAAAGAATTATGCCATTTTTTAATATACTCTGACATAATAATAGTTGCAACTTTTTTTTTTTTTTTTTTTTTTTTTTGAGACAGAGTCTGGCTCTGTTGCCCAGGCTGGAGTGCAGTGGCCGGATCTCAGCTCACTGCAATCACTGCAAGCTCCACCTCCCGGGTTCTCGCCATTCTCCTGCCTCAGCCTCCCAAGTAGCTGGG